ACAGCTTCAGCAACTACAAGAAATTAGAGTGAAACACTGCAGTGACATGGAAGAGATTATTGATGACAAAGAGCAAGAGAGTGGGAATAGTGCTGAAGAACGTGAAGGACATATTGTGGAATTAATTACTCTGCGATCCTTGAAGTTACAACGTCTACCAAAGCTGATTAGCTTCAACAGTAGTTGCAGGAACATGGCTTTTTTCAATGAAAAGGTATTTTAAATTTTTTTTTCCCATTTTTGTTCTTTCCAAAGCTACCACCTAGATTTCTATCTATTTTTCTATTCGTAGTAGAGTATTATGGTGAGTTGGGGTTAGATTAATAGACGGTTGAATTGTTTACTTTCCATTGAGTAGAGTATTTATATAATAGTTTATCAAATAGAAAATTATACAGTAATTAAACTTCATGAAAGTACAAGAAAATTAAAAAATGTGTTCAATAAATTTAATTTATCAAAAATAAAAACCAAAAAGTGCATTTAATAAGTGTATTTCAACATAATATCTTTGATAAAGAAGGTAATACGAAGGTGAATAAGATATGACAATGATATATTTAAAATGATGTGCCATTTTAAATTTGTAATCATTACGTGTTATTATATAAATGATTCTTTTTATTTATTATTTCATGAGTGATATTGTATATTTTTTCTCATTTAATTTGTAAACTTACAATCCTATACACGTGGTATTATAATTATATTATTGTTGTGTATATAAGATAATCCTTGTTCTTTTCTATAAACAAAATGATAAGCCTTTATCTCATAAAAAGAACTACTTGTTGTGCAGGTTGTGTTTTCAAACTTAGAGGAATTGCAATTGTTCTCAATTATGGTTGATAATACCATATGGTACGATTCAATGACATCTTGTATTGAGAAACTGACAAAGTTGATCATTCATGGCTGTGACAATTTGGAATACCTATTCCCATCTTCCATAGCAACAGGATTGTTGAAGCTTAGACACCTGCAAGTAAAGAAATGCCAAAGGATGAGAGAGATTATTGTGGCTAATGGTGATGAAGAAAAAGAAATTTTGATTTTTCCTCAATTGACTTTTCTGGTGATAGAGGACCTTCAAAACCTTGTTTGTTTCTGCGCAGGAAATTATACTGTAGAATTCTCATCCTTAAAACAACTACAAATATTGAACTGCATAAATTTTGAGGAATTCATTAAATATTTTACAAGTACAAATGTCACATACGACACACCATCACTCTTGAAGGAAAAGGTAATTATTTCTTCAATTCAATTGCATTTTACCTTTAATTTTAGGAGCTATAATTGTTTTAATCCTTTTGCTCTTATTGTCATGATGCGTAGGCTATTTTCCTCAACTTTACTAGCACTCACTTAGAAAAACTTAGAACCAGTTAATTTTAGCAGTTGTTACTATATATAATAATTTAGTCATATTTTTATTTTTATTTTTATTTCTAAATTAATATATAACAGAACCACATGTGTATAGATTCCTTTATTTTGTAAATTAAAATTAAAAAAAAATTTCATTAACATTTATTTTCCCAATCAAGATAGAACCTCAACTAATGAAATTACTATACAATTTCACAAAAAATTTAAATATATTTAATTAATCAAAAATAAAAATAAAAAACTTTATTAAAAACTTTAAAACAAACAACATGATT